AAGGTTATATAGGTCAACGTGATGACAAGTTAATGGAACAGTCTTTAAACAACAACACATACTTTGTTGAATTCCTCAAAACTGTCTCCCTAGGGTAAATAGGCATTACTACATGATGTGTATATTGTATGATGTGATGATCTCAAAACATAATTATCTCATGAATTAGACAAGAACCTGCGCATTTGATTCCTTGATTAAAAACTCGAAAATGTGCCATACATTTTGTCATATGTGAAGATTTATATCGTATGCACTATGGTGTCCTCAGCTGTCGTATTGTTCTACGATGAATGATATATTTGTTGTACAAAACATATCGTATATGCCAATTGTGTGAAAATTTAACGGTGTAATATCATCCCTACATGTAAAGTAGGTCATATCTGATCTTTTCCCTTTAACAGACCAAGCTATGAAACTAAGTCGTTCCATTATCATCGCGCTTTACATATGTATACAAATCTTGAAAGGAATTCGAAACACCTGTTGCAATGTTTTATATTTGGCGATATATGATATTAAAAAATATAAATATATAATCTTAAAAATATATCTAGATACATTTAGCTTCTGAAAAACTTTATGGAATATCCTGCCTACAGAAATAGCATCATATAGTTACATTTGCAGTTATATTGCTGTTAGTGATTAATTTAAGCCGTTTTGGTATCCTTTGTTTTCTTTCCAATAAAGTTTGCAACAGTTCAATACCTTATATATCAGGAACGCTTTTTAAAGTCAATCGATGTTGTATTGATTTTTAATCACAGTAGCTACAAAACCTGTTCCTGTTTTTATGAATGTTTGTATGGTTTTATTATATTGTTGATTTCCAAAAATAAATTACTTTTAGGACATGCTTTGTCAAGTTTTCGTTTGAAAACATAACTCGTCCTTGATTCGACTGAACAAGCAAGCACTGCCAAATAGGAAAGAGGTTAGGTTTAAATTATGTATTTCCTTCTTAGTTCAGTCATTCAATGACTTTCTTTTTATCAATAGAATATCGACAGCGTAAATTAATTATAATGCACTAACTTACACACGAATGTGTGTAATTACTGTAGCAATATTGTTTGCTATGCCTTACATATCAAAACTATACCTGTATATATCATATATACTTTTATGGTTTTATCATATCGAAAAATTGTATATGCTACTCAAAATTTGTTTAATAAAAGATGCCATGCCAACATTTTTCATAACTATATGGGCGTTGAAAAGGTTGTTTCAAAATACAAAAAAAAAAACACCACTTTTTAAATTATTAGGTTATAACTCTTTTTCATTTTGCATACTAAGTCATCTAAAAAACAGTATATAATTGAAAACGTTTTCCATCGAAGTACCTATATTTGATTGATTAATTTATTGAACTTTTAAGACTATTGCAATCGACCAATTTACTAATTAGTTGCAATATGAGCTATTATGTATTCAGAGTATTTCATCTCTATTGACCATTTAAACTTGTATTGATCTGGCTTCGAGCACAGTCTTTCCGAAGTGGATATTATACTAAACTTTTTTTGTTTATAAATCGGGAAAACATATCCTGTACTTGTACTGGTAGTGATGATATAGGCCACCTGCCATTGGTTTATATTAACTGAGCAAACATCTATTACCTCCTCATTTAACAGATGTTACCTATTTGTAGCATATATATCCAACCAATTTCATAATCAAGGACAGATATCAGGTATTATGTGACAAATTTATAACAAAATATTTAAAATTGTCTGAAAATACAAAAGTTTGTTTAAATGTAATTGGGCATGTCTTTTGTTGACATTAGTAAACTGTAAATGATGGTAAACAATTGTTACTATTTTTATTTTTAAAAGTAAGAGTAGGAATCTGCCATCGTCGATTTTTAAATATGTGTACATGAGAGATATATATCTTATTTAAATAACAAGTATATTACAAATGAAAAGCATAGCTGAATAATACATCTGGTATTATGTAAAACGGTTACAAGGTGTTATTTACATCAATGCTTAAACAGTCTTGTATAATGACACAAATGGGCAGCTGAGGTAATTCATGCGTCTGCTTTGTTTGAATACTGGTGTATTATTAACTTTCAAAATAATTTATGAAAAATATTATGCTATTCGTATAATAAATCAAAAGGCAGGTGGGTGTTATCTTTTGTGCCTAATAAACATATCACTGTCCTTAGACGGATTGCACGTTGACATACGCTGGGGTCAGGCTAATTCATTTACGGACAATTCATATGTCTTGAGGCCTTTTTACAAACAATAGATGAATTGGAATACCATATTAATCACATGTAATTAACTAAACACGTGCATGGGAAATAAAACTTATAACACCTGCCATCGCTCCGATGGTAACGCCATACTTGTTATAGAAATAAATGCAGGTCATAAAACGAGGGGTAATAAAAAAATCGTTTATCTGGAAATGTTGTTGCAACTGGTGTATTACGATATGAAACACTTAACACGGATTTTAAATATAGAAGGATTGGAACTTGCAATCATCACTTTTAACAAAAATAAGAAATAGAAATGAAAAAAACCCAAAAAAAAACCAGTGATGACAATTTATGCTACTATTCGTTAAATAGTTGATAAATGTCATGCTCCTTTCACATGTGCCTTAACAGATTGCGTATTGACATACATCATCGTACGAAAATCATTTTATAAAAAAAATGTATATCATTATATTGTTGACTGAATATTCAGTTTTCGCGTCTGAAATCATTTACACAAATGGTGACTGACATGCAGGTTTGTAATTTGCTTGATGAGTAGAGATGATTTTGTTCTCATTAATATTAATATCCAGTTAAATTAGCTAAACCCGTTTGCGCCTCTTAAACCTTTCATATTTTGTTTTACGAATCTATATTGTACAGTGCCCCATTGAGAACGAGGAGGATACCACTCTTCATGTTTAGTGAGCTAATTACGTTATTCGATTCACCTACATCTAGTAGTAACCAAGCGAATATATTTACGAAAACCATGGTGTTTATTTATACTCAACTGGTGTTTGTTTTGTTTTGTTTTGTGTTTGCAATTCTTGCAATTATTGTATTATGCAGGAAGATATTTTATAAGCTAGAAGTGCGATATTTAGTTCATATAGTACCATGTGTAGTTCACATAATATAATGTGAAGTTAACATAACTAAATGTGCAGTGTATAAGGTATATAAATATATGCATTAAAGTACTTCATAAGTTAAATACTTGAATCAAACTATAAACGCAATCTTCAAAAGATAAATAGTGTCCTCAAACCTATTAAATAAATGGGAGAATGCCGATCTTGTTTTGTAATATGTGTTTCAACGTTATCTTTGAATAATGCAAAATATTTTGATATTCTAAATATCTAAATTTCATTCTAACACTTAGTTCTTTGATGGTTTAATGATTTGTTTAACATTGCATGTCCTCTCGTAAACAATCGTGAAGGATGCAGGTTCATCATTTTTAAATGTATGTTTTCTGTATATTTTATAATCATGTCTGTAGAGAAGAACACATTTATGAAAACTACCAGAATATATTGTCTATTCGTTATACTCAACCAAAGACATGAAGCTAGGATTTAAGGGATCATGCGTTATTGACATGGTATTAAAAGGTGTTTTTTTCGAAAATAAAAATAGTTTTATATGGCATTATTTTCTGCCAAAATATTATAGCATATCTGAACTGAACCATGATTTTCAAAAACATAATTCATGCAACACCAACATAGACCCAAAACGATGAAAACTGTCATTTAACACAGTAAAATGTATAAGGGAAAGAGAACCTCTTGATTTTCTATGTTGACTTAAAATAAAAACAGCTCTTTTGAAAACTGCAAAGGAAAGAGTTGATCAGTGCTATTTTGCTTGAAATTCTTCATACGCAATTTAATACGAATCATACCGTGAACTTTCATTTCATATAATCTTATTTAGATAACCCATACACCCTGATATGAAAGACAAAATAGGAGTTTTTCAGTTGCCATGTTTCTTTATCCTGCAAAACATGTACACATTTTTGTTTTTGTTTTGTTTGTTTGTTTATCTGGGATTTTCTTACGGAAAAGATTATGTTATTTTTTAAGAAAATATTATTTGTAGACCAAATTTGAGATCTGTGACATGTTAAAAAAGAGAAAAAGAATCTTAAGAGGCCTTCGTCCTTCAACATTTACCTGAACTATAGGTTTATAAAAAGTTCTAAAGTGTAAGCTTAAAGCCAAAGTCATCGCAGCTAAAACAATAAATACAATCGCAACAGTGCACTGTCTTCTAATAGCCCGTATATATTTACAAGCTTCTGCTATTTAATGTGTTAATATTATCAACAAGTGCTAATCCAAACTAACATAAAACCCCATAACTATTTACAGCAGATGTGTTTCCAGGTAAACTTCATTTTCAAAAGGGTGGCAGTGTACCACCTACAAACCAAATTAGTCTACATTTAAGAGAAATCTTTTTTTTTATAAAAAACATGTGTGTTTGAATAAAGCAATCTCTTATAATGAAATTGACAATAGACATGTCAGTCATTCGTCAACTGAAGCTGGTCAAGACAGCATGAACAGACAAAACGGTCTGATTATATACAGAGCTAATGTATTTTTGAGTAATTAGGGATTTATCACTGTGTTATCCCCACCAATATTGACGGGATTTGAAGAGCAGTTTTCGTTGTAATGTTAGTGGATATTTTAAAGGAAATAATCATGATCCCTGACAGAAAATTGATGTAACATTTATTTTTTTAAAGTTCCTTACTTAAACTATTAAAGAAACATTACTAAAAAAGCTGTAACTTTCCATTATTTAGCATGCAAGTAATAGCCAATACACCGCGCAGAGTAAATATAGCGCGACCATGACATCATGGACTAGATGTTTGAACGACATGAACTTCATGTAACGTCATCATCTGCACAGTTTTTTCATCTATCAAAACAATCAAAGTCACTATTAAATTTCAAATTATCACATGAATAGTTTATTTTTACAAAAAAACTTTCATAAAACAGAACAATTCTTACGCATAAATACTTCTGTTGTACAAAATTCATACATGTTTAACATACAACTGGAATTTGTCGGCTATCTGTCTACAGTAACATAACATTCTTACCATACAATCAAAAGAATGTATATAAGAATTTTATGAGAGGTAACCCTATACAAAATGAAAATGCAACATTCTGTTTCTTGTTCATAAAAAATGCAATTTCTTAACTAGCTGATGCATTTGTTTTGAAATTATTTCACGTTGAGATCGACTTCAAACAGTTCGAATGATATTGAAAGTGTGACCCACATCCTTTAGATACATTGGATTATATTGATTGGTCCACAAATAAAGTTCTGATGTAACACTCGTAATGAGTATAGTAATAATGTTCCTTTCATGTCAATGTATTTATTCCTGACAGCGTTAACAATTATTTTATATTTTAGTACAAATGAAAGCTAAATAAAAGTTAAATATTACTATAATCGATATGATATAATGATAACTGGATAATTTTGAATCCTACTGAATCCTAAATATAGATCTGTTCCAGAGCATCGATATGACATCAAATATTTCCTCAACATTTCAAACGTTGATATGTGTTAAAAAGGTGGATAAATGAAATGTTATATATTGATCATTGTAGATGCGAAAACATTAGTGAGTTAAGTAAAATTGCTTCCCCCAAAAAATGTTTTCGGTGTGCGGTATATTCCAATGAAGCGATCGATTTGTGGTCGAGGACAGGAACTTCCCCTTCGGTATGAACTATGATGACCTTTGTTGTGTTGACGTCACAGGAAGCCGATATAGTCTCAAGCACTGATGTCCAGACACAGTTCTTGATAAAATAGCACAAGAATTGCGTTTGGACAATCATCGCCTGAAAACTGAGCAAGGTACTTCGGTTGTGGTTCCTCTTCTTATGTATATCCTTCTTCGACAAATGAGTGTCCACGCAAGTGCTATCCTGACCTATATGTTTATCCTTCCGCTGTTCAGGAAATATATCCATGCATATATTACAGTTGTAGTTCAGAAATGTCTGTTCCTTTGAAGGCATGAGGAGAGTTGATTGATAAACACATATACAATTTCTGCTTTTAAAAATGTATCTTTTGTCTCTACGACAATAACGTTTTCCCAACTTCCGTTTGAGGCTTGCCCTGGTCACTTAGTACTGATGGGAAATGTTAATGCATTTTCCATGGTGGATGTATCGTTAATATATCCTCTGCCCACCAAACGCTTCATGTATTCTTCCGAGGGCACTGAAGCGAAGAAACATTACTTCGAATTAGCATAATGATGTTTCTACGAAGCGTACAATAATAAACGAGAAACATTTGCATGAACTTTCCGTCCACATGAATATAACAAATATATATAAACAGGCTTGCTTATGAACGTTTCAATATATCATATTGCTAGATTTTCGCTACACAAAAATGTCAATGTCAACAATTGATTCGGTAATTTATTACATTTAGGCCTTAACGATTTCCATGTGCCATTTTAAGCATCTTAGTATCTTATCATGCAATATGACCTGTTAATAGAAATCCAATTGAATTACATATCATCAGATAAAATGAAAACTTTAGTTCCTTTAAACTCATATCCCTTGTTTATAGTGTAAAGGTTGCAAATTTAAAGCAAAATCATTACAAATAAAATACATTCTTAATGTGTATTTTCATGTTCATTTTCTTCTGACTATATTTAAAAATTATCATTGTAACTTGCACTACCATGCTGAATTCATTTTAAATTAATCCGTCTAAAAAGGAAAACAAACGATGACATGGACATGGTCCATTGCCTCGGTACAACATACACAACAGCACACATGCTGTACACATTCCATTGTGACATTTATGACAGATTTTATTGTGAAAGTATTACCTTTCCCAGACTAAATATCATCACCGTTCCTCATATCTTGTTGTACAAGGCCCACAGGTAGGGAGACGAGTTCACGAGGTCAGTGCTCCTACTGTCTATTGAATGTGACCTCACATGACTTTTGAACATGGACAAGAATATATAATGTTAATTTAGATACACATTTCCTTTAGTTTCCTCGTTGTTTTGTGAAAAAAAAACACTTTCATTGGTCTGTTACTGTCAAGCTACTCAGTAAAAACGATTTCCTTGTAGAGAACGAAACAAAAATCGAACGTATAAAAATACATATCGCTGTCCCCAATCTAACTCGATAAGGCCATTGTCCTTCCATTGTCCCATAAAAAGAGCCTCAAACTATATACTGAATGGGCAGCATTTTTTTTTTAATGTCTAAAATCAAATTCTCTTAAAACTTTCTAATAAATATGAATTGTTATTTTTTGGATAATGTCCCAACAATAAATATTGATGAATAATTGCAAGAAAATTCCGAGCATTTAAACTAGAATAGAACACATATATCACAACGTCAGTAAACAAAGCCAAAATGGGAATCAGAAGTCTATACAAAAACACACAATAGACGACAGAAAGCGAGAGACAATAAAACAAATATAATGACAAATATATATTAATATCAAAGACACAACAGATAGCAAAGATACAACAAAACAAATATAATGACAAAGAGAAATTAATATAAAAGACTACAGAAAGCTAAGAGACAACATAACAAATATCAGAACAAATAGGTTTTTATATAAAAACGAGTTTCGATGCCTTTACAACTAGATAAGTCAATTGAGACCTTTTCTATTTAAAGAACTGAGTCTGATCTACCAACACTATGGTAACTGTGTGGTGTTACACATGCCTGATAGACTGCAGGATGTATAACTGTAAACATAGTTTTAGGAAATGTTAAATGAATATTTTCACGGAAGTGACCATGTCTAATAACCTAAATGGTAGATTTGAAATAATGATTAACATTGTCTGTGGTTTTATTTTAAACATATCTGTTAATTTGACATAGAGTTATATGAAATGACGTCTAAACATTCATCTCAAAGCTGATGTTAATTTAAGAAACCGATTCCTTTAAAAAAAAAAGTTTTGTAAATTGACATGATTAATAACGAATATATTAAGGTCCTAACTTCATTTAATCATCATTGAATGGGCAAACTAATTGCTTCTATACATTTCCCTTTTACTTTAGTGCTCTGTAAGACTACAAGTTCGATATACCAGTCAAAACCCTGAAATGAAAGAAGGATATAACAACTTACAACAGGATAAAAATTAAATGAGTTTTGAGGAAAAAAATATCTCATTTTATTTCTTTCATTTTTACTGTAACATTTTATATGAAAATAATGGATTGTATGCCTCAGTGACTTGCTTCTACCTGTTGAATACTTTGTATTTCATACATATAAATGAGTGTCTAAAATTTTCACGTACACATTCTAACGATGTGAAATAGAATTGTAGACGGAATGTAGTCGGCCTGCCAAGGTAAATATACATAGATGTACGCTTGGATAAAAGTGACTCGTACAATGAATGAATAACATATGTACTGCTTAAAAGGTTATTTTAGACCAAACCCAAACCGGATAAGGAGACATGTCTGAACTTGATATCTACATCTTTTACATGATCCATAATTAACTGCATCTGTTAATGACATTTTGTTGAATTTTCAATAATTATTGGTAATACGGAAACAAATGTAAATCCAACATTAACGATACTTTCACTGAGGGAAATACATGACATAACAACGGGAAAAGTTACTGTTGGGAATGTTGAATACTTTTGAATTTGACTTAGAACCCCAAACAACATAAATAGGCTGACCTAGTACTAAGAATTACCTGAAGAATGTAGTCAGTCATCATCATAACGTCACATCCTGTGTTATGTTGCATTGAATTTCTGGAGGGAAATATAAATGAAACAAAGATATTTGTTTTGTTACATTATAAACTCCAATTTATATGGTGTATCAATCCTCACTATAACGTGATGTTGTTGGTATGTACTTGGTTGTGTATACAAAGTTATACGCTTTACCAATGGTATACTGTAGTGTAGTACTTCGTAAGAATGTGGTGTTTGGTGTGGATATATAACTTTCCAGTAATTCTATGTCATATTATCATTTTGTGTAAAGGTATGGTGTGGAGATAAAGATAAAGAATAAACTTTGTCATACTGTGGTACTTTGTAAGGGTAAAATACATACCTATATTGGCCATGACATGATGTAGTATGTTGTAAGGATATGGTGTTGATATCAATCCTAGTCATACTGTAGCTTTGTGTAAAAATATATAGCTATACTATATATTTATGTTGTAATGTAGTACGTTGTAATGATAGAGTGCATACCTAAATTGTCAATCCATGTCATGATGTATTAATGTTAACATTCATCCACATCCTTTACTATTGTCATACTGTAGTACTTTATAAGGGTATTGTGTATACCTATATTGTAAGTTCATGTCATGCTGTAGTATATTGTAACGGTGTAATGGTAAAATTCATCCACATAACACATTACCAGTTTACAATGTAACACTGAGGTATCATGTGAGCATTTTATTAATTTAGTAAGTCTCTATAACAGTATGTCATATAAATTGTGAATGAATGCAGATGTAATAACAAGCATGTCATTTGTGTTTATTATTACATATGTAAAACTATTAAATGCAGAAGTATTTTTTAAACGAAAGCAGTGAGCTTTAGCGTCTGATTGTACACACATCTCTAATCATACATATTGAGCCTCAGCAAAAAAACGCATTTCATAATTCTGTTTCAGACAATTGTATAACCACTAAATATATAAATAAAGTTTTTAAGAAGAGATATAATATATGTCTGTATTTGTTTCGTATAATTTCTAAAATGGGTCTTTCTGCTTTAACTCACAATTGCCCAAATCCCATATGCCAAATGTCTGACTTGCCTCACGATTTTTATAATATAAAATGTGCACGTCCCAGTGATGAATCTAAATTGCAAATAGCAAAACCATTCAGAAGTATGAAAGAGAGTCAGAAAGTGAGGATAATGCTTTTGATCAAAATGTTAATAATAGTAACACGCAGAGAAGCAAGCTTGGGTATATAATGTACTTCACACACCTCAGTGACATTCTTGGCTTCTCCGTGCTTAATGTCCCACCCTGCTACCAATCAGATGGATTCCTGCTACATTACCATAGAAACGACGCGTGATACGTTTAATGTTTTACAACTACCTTTGACCTAAATTTAGTTTCAAACATGCATGTATATGTGAATTATACATTATATCTACTCTTTCTCTCAATGCCAGACTCGCTGTTGTTTTCGTCGTTTTCATTGATATAATTAACATGGATAATGCAACAAATAAACATATGCTGAAAAAATAACATTCTAAGAATTAATTATTTACTTTGAAAAGTTTGACTTTTGTTTTCATTCATAGATTTACTTTATTGAATTTAAAAGTTGAGCAAATTTATCCTAACTATTTTATTACACCCTTCAACAAGTGTTACCCAAAACAAAAGAGGAATTTCATTACAGTCTGTGTTTGTTTGACATATTCAATGCGAACTAGCGTATTATAGGAGCTGAGAGGATTTAAAATTCAGCGATAACAATTTCATGGAATGCATTACTCTTTAAGCATTTTTTTCGTTTATTAAACAGTTTAGAATTGTATTATTTAAAAAATTTCACATGTATATTTTTCTGAAAATACCTCGCAAATAAAACATTTAAGGTAAGTTAATGTAAAGACTTCATGTTTCAAACAAGTCTATCCTGGTGGATATGATTGATCGGTACGGCATTGAATATATCTTATGTTGATGAGTAATCATCAGGGGCGTTTCGTTGTGAATCTTTCTAATATTTCATTATGTCGCCACCACCACTAATTTGCATACCTGTGAGATCGGCACGTGGTCTGGGTCTCCGAAAATCCTCGCGCCTTTTTGTACATGTCTGCTGTTTTTTATCCACCAAAATTGTCATGGCGGGTGAACAGGAGCTGATGTCTGCCATACTGCTATAAGTATATCCGTAACATATCCTGTCTCAAAACATGTATTTGATGGTAGTAATTCCGACAAAAAAATCATTATTTTCCCAATTCAGAATTCCAGTTTATCACTATAACATAAAATACTCGTTTAAATAGAATTTTTTAGACAACTATTTGCAATTCATTCCAAATACCAGATTATTATAATACAATTTCCATCGTAAATGTATCCCCACATTCGTGCTAGTGGTATCCAGAAAGAAATGTAGCCCAATAATATCAGCAATTCACAAACCAATGTTACAACCCTTTAACTTCAGCGTTTTTTGTGTCAAATGTTGATTCACACAGGCAAATACTGCGTAGCACAAACTGTTTCGAGTCTTAAATCCGTTGAAGAAAAATGCTGTCCTATTATTAAATATTTCAACGGAATCTTCCCACCATTTGTTACCTGCTGCAGAGAGCGAAACGATACCTTATCCATTGTACGGTGTTGACACGTCCAATCTAAGCACAGGTATATACGACTAGACAATACACGTCCTACATCAAATGAAAGTTTGCCCCGGGCAATCTGAACTCTGTTTATACATTAGGTAATACACCAGACGACGGCAAACGACCTGTACTTTGTAAGCGGTGGTCAGTGGTAATGTCCGTGTGTGACACTGAGGTAATGTTTAATACATTTCCGAGGAAACTGAGATAGGATTGGTTAATAAACATTACCTTTTTTTACCTGGCTGTAAATATGTCCCATTCTAGTCCACGAAATCCCATTACCGTTCATCAAGGACATCCTGCATGGTAATCCCACATTCCGCCATGTTTTCAAATCTGAAATTGTAAATTACCTATGTTGTATCTTGTTCACGTGTTTCTTAAAGTTTTCGGTTGCTTTCAGATATCACGATAGGCTAAAAAAACCACCTCCATGAAGCATGCACAGCCGATGTCTCTGAGAAGGTGCATGTCGTTACCTAGGTGTATGCTAATGACGTCGGATTTGAAGGGTTGCTTTTTTAACAACCCAGTTGTTATTACAGTGAAAAGAACATAACATGGATGTCATTTCCTTACGAGGCCACACATACGTACGGACCGAGCACTTTGTGACGGATAGATACGGTCACACACCACTGAAACTGGCAAATCTCTATCACTCCCTGGTGAAAAAAGGGCGGGGCTTGAACCCGACTGCTCTCTATCAACCAACACCTTCCATGTTTAGTTACCTACGTGTTGTCAACCATAGCGAATATGACTGTTAGGTAGCTATACCACATCTCCCTCTCTTTTTCGAAATTGAAACGAATCATTCAGTGGTTTCTATTCGTTCATTTTTTCATTATTTTTTATTATTATCTATTTATTTATTGCAAATATACGTGGATTTGAAAATTGAAATTTAGTACAAAAACTTCAACAATATGTTTTTGATAATTATATATTAACATATTTAAAACTGCTGAGTTAATTTTGAATTTTGAAAAATCATTTATCGGTTTGTTCATTCAGGCGATACTTTCTGCTATCAAGAAGCTATTCGAGCGTGCAATCTGGTGGCGTTGCTTTGAAAAAAACGCCGACCAAGAGATCGTTGACACACTACACACTGAGACCTGTATGGACAGGACATTCACGTTCACTACGTATTCAGCACAGGAGTAAATGAAAATGGTTCATTTACCTTTAATATATGATAAAATGGAGAATAGCAATTTCCCTTTTTATTGAATGATAAAGTGAATTTGACTTTTATGTCCTGGTTTTTATTGGGCACGCCAGGGATGCGACTAGCATTTTACACCACTGGTGTTGGGACAAAGACGGAGGCCGCAGCATTCTTACCTTACACATGAACCGTAACCTAGCAACTCTGGTAAACACATGCAAATGAAGCCATAGAAAGTTCACGTTATGAGGGATTAAGGACAATGTCTGTCAAAGCGGATGGTAAAATAGATGAATAGCGCCTCATGACATGAACTTAGATTGGTTATAAATCTACAATCTAGCAAGGAGTAACAAAATATGACATGGGTGTCGATATATTCCGACAATTCCTGTCAAATCAGCTTTACACGTAAAAAATAATGTTAAAGCTAAACAAATATTGTTTACATAGCAAATCTAACATATTGTTTTCAAAAAACACAAACTTATTCGAATAGTTCCATTACAACATTGATACCAGAATGTGTCCATGTTATTTGTTTATTTGTGTCTAATACGCGTTATAGCAATATAAAACACGAACAAGAATTTGTAATAATTTTTTCCTGTATAATGGGTTAAAATAATATAGTTTCGGTTTTGCTATAGGTAAAACGACAGGTAAATGTCATCAACATGTTAATGTCGGTGAAACCAGTCTCTGACTTTTAATACGAGGAAACAGGTACTGAACAGTTAGATTGTAATTATGATAAACTCCATTTCCCTCCAATGTCGAGCTTGAGTGCATTTAATTAAGAATAAAAACCCATTCGAGTGTGAACATAGACCTCTTAATTCAGACTGGGTGAATAGATGAAGAAATAGATAGTGGGGAGCTAAAGGCATTGCTTTAAAACACTTCAGTATTTTTGTGTTTTGAAATGTGGTTTCAAACGCTCTCATGAAATGTAGTGCTTTTTACCACTGTGATTGTATGTGATAGGGTAGTTAGGTCCTTTCACGAGGGTTGAAAGATGCATATTGACGTCATGAATATTTGATGGATTAAGATGTTAGCCCGACATTTCACCCACCATGAATGGAATACATTAAATGTACATGTCGATCATAAAATACAGAAATGTCGAGAAAGCATTCCTATAATGCATTTTGAATTTAAACGTTAACTGATGAAATCGGGGTTTTCTATATTTGGATACAGTTAACGCATGATTTTGTTTGAATCTTTAAATATTGCTATGTATAGCTAATGGTGTACACTCGTTCAAAGTAGGTTTTAGAAAATTACCATATTTATGGAGAAAAAATATTCAGCGGTGTTCATGTGTCTTGGTCAGTTTAGAATTCAAATTTGATATAGCATTGTGCACAGACACCATACATGAGTTTTTTGTTTTTGTTATTTTAAGTATCATAAAAGTGAACGTGTCATTGTTCATAAGCTGTTGATTGCAACACTCCATAATTATAAATACAAACACGTCACTATTTAATAAATGTAAGCTCTAATGTGTTTGACTTTTGTCTTTAAACATCATGCTATACCGTATTTTGTACTTATAATTTATACTTAATCGTTAATACATTATGAATGTTGTAAGGGTTCATTTTTATTTCCATAAGCTCGGCTGATAGGGATTATAAAACATAATTACATATTTCGGTAAGTGTCAAAAACTGTAAGGCATCACCATCAATCCTTATTCAAATCATGTTCGAATTTTAACAAGTAAGTACATAAGAATATATATAAATATATATCAAAAAGGAAATTAGGATAATAAAGAAGACTTGATGAACATCCGGAAAACAATATTTGTTATTTCCTCTCCTTATGACATATACAGATTTTTGACGTTTTTTGTTTGTTTCGTTTTGCAACCGCACTATGGCTTTGCAATTGTTTATAATATACTTTGAATGGGTGTATGTATTGGATTATGTTTGCTTAGAATGAATGGTTATTTTAAATGCGGTTAGGTTCTACAATATCAGAAGATTTATTTCCTATTGTTAAATGTCACCTAAGACGGCAATGTTCAGCGAAGACATGATTCATAGTTTGCTTTGCATGCACAGTGATAAATACACAAATATAACTATTTGAAATGTTTATGAAATTGCATATTTTTTTATTTTTTTTTATTATTTTTGAAAAGTTTTAATAAATACATTTCCCCTAAAGTCTTTAGTATTTGGAGCATTTCTTCATTTTGTTTGTTACAAACGCTGCAGACTTTTGTTTTTATACAGCCAGTTATAATGTTATTAACATGAGAAAAATATTCCCAGGTCCATGTGAAAGTATTAATGTTACATAATCATATTGACAAAGTGCCGTATTAAGATACATACAAACCAACAACCGCTTTTCTGTTTTATCTTTGATTTGGTAAATTTGGAATTGGTTTATGTTAAAATTGTGGTTTTATACAAATATGAATGGAAAATCTGAGTGTTAATTAACCAGGTACATATTTATGATGAAATAACAGAGCATGTGCAGTATTTTCAATGGAACGCTGTACCTCTGAACTAATATATTTATGACAGTAAGAATCCATTGTGCGATACTGCTTTAGATTTCTTCTAGTTAGAGTTAACTATTCACCTCTACTCAGATACCGACATTACCTCCCATCATTCGGATATACTGATTTTCGATCAGTTTGAAAAATTCAACTGCCTAGGTAAACGAAGGTCAAAATTAGTTCAATTAATTACACCAACATCTGCCAAAATAATCATGACGTAAAAACTGGACGTCGGACCTCCGGTGTATATTTGCTGAGAGTGCTAACTAAAATGACTTGGAGCATTCTTCGACTCATGGTCATAAACCAAAAAGTGACTTTTCCCAATTATCATATCAGTTCTGTCATAATCTAGAATATAAGATATGTTATGTTTATGCCTTACAAATTAAAACAATCAGCACTGGAGAAAAAAAATCATTCGTTAACGAAATCCGGTTTTATGAGATAACTGGCATAGGATATGTCTGTTGTTCAATCCTTTTGATTGTTATCAATAAATAAACGTGAAAGTGCGGTTCTGGAATGTTAACACTATCATAAGTGACACTATAGTTTTTAAAAGTCATGCTTATAGTATATAACAGTTAAAGCAAATCATGTTTGATCTTCTTTCGATTAATTAACTTTCACCTCACGCTGATATGTTCAATTTTCTTCGTTAATTCGTCAATTGTCCTTGCTTCTTTATTTCCCTCAGAATTAATCTAAACCTTCACTAAATACCTATAGAATAGGATCAACGTACATGACGTTTACTCGTCCATCAATATAGACACGGGGCAGATCCTGTATATGTTAGCCGGCATGAATAGCTCCATTACTTAAAAAGTTCTAATAAAGAATGCAAACAATAAAACAGACACGTGTATCTTATATATCGGAAAGCAAAGTACAGCTTTTCTCTACCTCCTATAATATCAAACTGAGTTGAAGGATAACAAAATCAACACGATTCATTCAATACGCTAAAGGGAAATACCGCACGGACCTTTATAACCTACATATGTTAATTCAAATGTTATTTCTCAAATCCTGTCATATGCCTAGATTGTATATAACTTATTCATGTGGAAACAAACTTGTAAACGAAATATTTCTCCTTGATTTGATTCTCCTTCAGGAAAATAAATATTTATGTCTGGGGTGTATGTGTGTATCTCAGACGGGGACCTAGTGGAATAAGAAACCTGCAAATACATTTTATTTTCAAAAACCTTTTCTATAATGCAAAACTTTCACTCACTCAAGAAAGCTATACGATTCGTATTAGAAATAAACATACATGTACTCTATATATCTAACTTGCTTTTATTGAGAGAATAGAGGAGTTATTCGGTGTTATAGATATAACGAATGGAATACGTTACCAACATCACATATATACACTTTTATATCGAGTGCTACAGTAACAACTAATACTAGAATATTTTATCATTATTATTTGGGCTGCTTTAAAAAATCTTTATTAAATTTACTTCATTTCTATCGTATACTACTTTCATACCAACATTCCTCTACTGCATAAGATATGTATCTGTATATCAATACATTCTACATTAGTGTCATTCCATTAAATATCAAGAACATTAAAGTATGCTCAGCTTGACATGGCTTACTACAAGAATTGCTCCATAATGATGAACTTTTAAGCTTCCATAACAGTTATTGTCTTTAGAAACTTATAATGTATTAATGTGACTGTGTTTGTATACTATAACGTGCATCATTGTTGAAGGAATACAATTATCATTTTTGTTCTAATCATCCCAATACTTTTGAAGATGTTAATACATTAGAGCTGTTTTACTGGCATTAAATCTTTTTCATAGCATACTTGAGTGTAAAGTAATGTAATTTATATAGTTTTGCAGAACAGGACTATTCCCTCTAGCTGAGCTGTATATTTGTAACGATTTGCCTCTAAATGTATTAAACATTGCAAAATTAAATACTTTTACTCCACCTACCCCACCCCCAACCACTGCATTCCTCTTCAATTCTTTTCTTTTCCATATAAATTACAATTGTTCCCCGCACCCTCGTTTTAAATTTGATATCATCTTGGTTTTACAGAAAGCACTTTGATGGGGGTCTTCTGATACCGTTAAAATGTGTAAGCCTGTATGATATTTTGTTGCTATACTCGGTATGGTTTTTAAAGTGTCTTTATGTCATTAATCTGCATATCTATGGTTAAATATAATGAAAAGGATTTCTGTCTCACAAGCCATAAAAGACAAGAAATATTGTACACCCTTTACAGAAGTGTTTTATGTCATAAGAAATCAACCAGAAGAAATCGTGCTTTACAAGCAGATATATCCCAATTCAAACCAACATAAAATTCGGAGGAATTATCTTAATGAGATGAGCAAATGTTTGCAAAATATGATGTTTTATTACTATTTTTATTCTGAATAATCTATAGGAAGCTTTAAACTAAAAAATTTGGACAGCTGCATTTCAATACAAATTTGAAATGTATAAAATATTATCATACGACACTGCAGAAAAAACTTACCTGTTGTTACGGATTCTGTCTGCCATTTGCACCTGCTGTATAGCAAATGCAAATGTCTTGTATTATCGGCATGAAGGTCAGGTTCCAGCTCCATATCCACTCTGGCGTGGTCCCTGAGGACTTACTCTCCACCGCACGTGTTCTGTACAGGTAAGTCATGTAACTCTATTTGGTAGCACCCTCGATCCGGATTAGATATATACTAACCCGGACGGCATGAATAAACATGTAGTAGGTTTAAGTGCATTTTCAGACCAAATTCCATTCACCAGTAGGTAATATCCCTTAGGAGTGAAAGGAGGGTAGCTCGCAAATATTCAAGAACAGTTAGTGAGGGATGGGTCTTAACACGTATGCTACAACACATTCAAACTCACACCGGTAGCCTTGCTTAAAAATGTAGCTTTATATGATACAAATCTTGATGCAGATTTTTTACTGTGGTGTGATGGTTTTTCAATGGTTTTAGTTTTCCTCATAAACATAGAACATGCTATATTAGTATGCAATAGCTATAGTAAGCAAACCTTCTAATGTTTTAATGATGCATTAAAATTTTCGACATTTAAACCATTAATATATAATAATAATAATAATAAATAATGAAACATCAGCTTCTTTATATCTGTTGCTGATCAACATATGGTGGTTGTATATGTTTATACATTTCGGCAAATAACTGATTTTCTGTAAAATATCAAAGTTGAAACAAAGTTTGGGAGTAAAATCCAAATTAAAAATTGTCAATTATATAATCAACACAAAGAAAGGACAAGCTCCAACAATTCATGTCTCGAGATATTTGTTCAACTATTGGATGTACATTGTCCTAAAATTACTACAGTCTATCATGTATAAGAAGGTAGGATAAATCCAACTTCCGAGGGTTTAGTTTAGCAAAGTTTAACGTCCTATCAACAGCTATGGTCATTCAAGGATGGCATCCGAGGGCAGTTTTTCCCCATCCCCCATACCTACATGAAAACTGACTCAGAAATAAAGACATTACAAATGAAACCATAAATGTGTTTTCTAGATACCGTGCACGTTCACAAAATGACATATAAGAGCAGGAAAAGGTACGGTATACCAATGGCATACTTTAAAAGATAAAAGCAGACTGCAAAACGATTTGCATTAAATTTGTTTAGTAATTAATAAAGACTAAATTGTTTTGAACACAAACAGGAATTGAAAACTTATTTTGCGAGCTTTCGAAAACGTATGTTCCCTTTCTGAAACAAAGAGTGCTTGATTGATTTAATCCGTGGGGCGCTGTTAGATGCCGACCGTGCTTCGGCGGTAGATATTCTTCCGCTGACCAAAGTGTCAATTCAATTAAGTTACCTATTACATCCAAATGACACCACGCTTCAGAATCTGCGCTGATATTGATAATTTTGAATTGAAATAAAAAAATATCGGTTATCTATGCACGATTTAGAAAAGAAGATTTATCCTGAAATGGGGGTCACGTGAAGCACCTATGTGGGATATAGTTATTCCACATGGATGTAATATATGGGACACGAGCATCTTGCACGTGTATAATGATAAAGGAGGGGTAAAACGTCCGGCTTTCAGATTGCTATCACGCACATTTGTTTTACTTTCATTGCATAAAGACATATATGGGATTACCATAGCTTGATATGACGTTAACTATGGTCAGGGCGAAGGTCATCCGAAAATATCAGGAGGTAAAGTGAGGAAGAAAATACTTACATGAACTCATTTGACAAAATTAGATTTTGATACATTTCTCCACAATTCGTAGGTATTGTTCAAGACTGAACAGCAGGTCATTGTATCTGCTGAAAAGCTGACAATTAGGTCGCAATGACCTTGTTCTTTATCAGCTTAGCAGCTCCAACATGTTTCGTCTCGCGCCCTATATATACACTAGGACAATGTGATAAAAAACACATTCTATTTAGTATGATTTAGTATCATCCTAGCTTTATTTAGAAAAATAGTTCATTTGGAGGAGGAGGAGGTATCAATTTTGTTCGTTGGTTCTGTTCTGTTGGTAAATCTGAACCAACAAATGACAAGTTGAATTCATAAACAAAAATACAAGTTTAGAAAATAGGTCATAGGCTTATAGTGTTATATTGGTATGGATTGTAAAATATGATCCCTCTGAAGTTATTCAAACTGCCTAATATATTTATATGGTACACATAGATACAAAACAAAATATGAAAAATTATCAAGGGTATGATAAAAACAGGTTTTATAATGTAGGCAACTTTAAACTAACAAAGGACTTTCCATGCTAAATATACGGAACCTGGTGATCAGGTATAAAGGCGAAGAAGTGTTAGATTGTTTGTTACTCGTTGTAGTGTTCTTAACTAAGACCATGCCTCTACTATCATAGAAACATCCACAGCCATACACGCGGATGCGCAATGCCAGGTTGGTGACGCCCAAAGTATATGCATAAGGACCTCCACCAAGATATGTACGGCAGGTGTGGGTCAGGTAACACATCCAATTATGTTCGTCAAAATATCCATCAGTACTATAACGCAATATCATAGAGTGTCTTACTCCCGCTTGACTCATACCTTTCAATCATTTATGATTGGTCTTCTGAGATTGTTCTCGAATCTATCGAAGCACAGCAAAAAAAATCAAGTTTATATTATAGTTACGTAGCGAGGTACATCAACTATTAATAGGTAGATATTCAAGTTTTATCGTTTTATTTTGCACTATACTGAAAGAAAAAATTGATGCATGCTTAATTTGAACTAACTCATAATGAACCATGTCTGCTTAATCAGCTCCCTGGTTATATGAATCTTATTAGCTATCAATGACATTTACAATATACCAAAAATCGAATTCAAAACGATGACAATGTTTAAATAAACTACAGAAAGTACTGTATCGCCCGTCTCTCTCACTTTTACCCTCATGTCCCGGGACTGAAATAAGATGCTGCTAAATCTATTTGGGCTTGATTATCGTATGACCCTAATGTGCATTTACACGCAAAATAAAGTACATTGATATGGTGTATCGAATATTGTATAAAACTTCAATAACCTACTTATCCACTAAATGTGTTTTTATCGGCAAGTTTAACAATAAACAACTTTACACAAAACATCAAAATTATGAAGAAAAATTGTTCCAAAAATATTTCGTTTAAACTGAAGCTCGCCCACTTAAACTCGTTCCCTTCGGACTAACTTCCGGGCTGACTGTATTCAACGTCACAGCACACATTTATTTAAGCAAAATAAAACATTGATGACAGCAAACAGATGGTCAGTCTTTTATTGTTGTAACAATAAAAGCATAACACTGGTTATGCATGTTAAATATCAAAACAATTGACTATGTAGATTAGTTTTTTTATTATTAATTCTAAGAAAGAGCAGTTAAAGCGATAAAGTTTTGAAGAAAGATTCATTTCTTTTTTAATCTGTAATTGTACCTCCGTATTTGTTGAGATTTTTCTATGATTTTCTAATAAAATGATTGATACAAGATTTTAAGAGTATTCATAAATTCCTATTTTAATGCTCCTAGCAATAACATGCAGCAGCTTAGAGAAACAGCCGTAAAAGTTGGTTTGTGGAACCACAATATCTTATGTTAACGTTTAATTTCCCGATGTTATCGTCAAAATGTATAATGAATTGCACACATTTTCTCCTGCAGTAATTATATATATAACGACCCGAGCCATTGTGCAGACATGATGCGATATTGAAAAATGGCGACGTGAAACAAAACGACATGATCATCATATATGTATTTAAGGAAACACGAACTTTGATTCGTTAAACTCTCCATGAGACTCATATCCTGTACACGATTCGTTCTGTGGAGCAGCTGTCATTAGCCTCGAAGACATTTGTACTTGTTTCAGGGAGCATACCTCCAATTTGAAATAGTCTGTCTCTGCTTGTTCTGACGGGAAACATCAATTAGTTTTATCGTTAATTTTTCATCCTCACAAGACCTAGATATTGCACTTTTTCGTTTGTCGACGTAAGGTCCTTGTCGCCATGAGTCTGTGATATCAAAAATGTCACAATAACATGTTCTTCTTATACAGGTGATTGATATACCTGCACTTAAACTTCACGTCACATCTAATCTTTATTATGAGACTACTTATACATTTTATAATTGTATTTGAACAAATGACGGTAAAACAATGAAATACAATCGTTTTGTACATCCTAACATGCTTATATTGTGAATTTTAAAACGTCTTTGTTTCACACCCTAACACTTCGTTGTACGTCTACTACCTCTGTGTTGTTCGTCTGAACTCGTTTTTATTGTACGCCTTACTAAAACGTCTTTCTTTTACGCCTCAACTCGTCTTTAAAGCGTGTCTTATCTTGTCTAAATTGTACGGCTTAACGCTTCTTTGTTGTTCGCTTCAATATGGCTTTATTCATCTGTATTGTACGCATAGCCACGTCTTTGCTCTGCGTGAACATTAATGCTGTACTCTTCACACATTATTTCCGTACACCTTAACACGTGTTTGTACTTTTTGTCTTATCATACCTACTGGTACGTCTTAACCCGTTTGTGTTGTGAACATCTTAAAATCAATGTTATACTATTTACAAGTTTGTGTGTGCGTTTTTGTTGTAGGTTCATTTTGTACGTCTTAACATGTTTATTAACGATAAAATTTAACTGGTGTACGTTATACCTTGTCACTTACCAATATAAGCAAAGAGAATAGTATAATATGTACGCTAAAATGGTATCATTTTCAAATTCAAGTCAATGAAAATGAATATTCTTAACACGCCATCAGGTTTATTTTTTATCAGAGTTCTATAAAAAGAATTTGGCCTCTTTGCCTATTAGTGATGATAGAAAATGACGCTTTTACATATCAGTTATACTGGTTATACTTATAATATCGAGAACAGATGAAAAAGGTAAGTGATAAGTTAGATAGCAGTTAGCATAACCATCTACGCGTCTGCAATGCTTTTTCATGTTGGCAAATGGAGGAAGTGTGGTAATTTGTTGATATATATAAGACAAAAGATACTTGGAGTATGCACTGTTCAATTGTGCATACTACCATAACGGGAAGTGTAGGTAAATATATCACGAATGATTTATACTGTCACTATGGCAAAAATTACTCATCTGTCATACTTCTGTTAACATACATCACGGTTCTCCGATATTTCCATTGTTAGCAGTTGAACAGTTCGCCTGCCATAATACACCACTACGTGACGGTAGATCATTGACCGATGCACTCGGGACAGAAATGTACGGTAGGCAGAGGGAACATATTCGAGTCCCTCAGCCTTCAGTACAACATGACGGGCGCTGAAGTAAAAGATATACGGTATACAGGAAAGATTATACACGTGTCTCTTGGCCATACACGTGTCTCTCGGCCATACACATGTATCTCGGCCTCTGATACCACATGTCGCCAAATACCAAATATACGGTAGAGGCAGAAGGGACATACACGTGTTTCTCAACCGTCAATTAGTTCTAAGCCTCCAATACAACATGCGGCGTTGAAGACAGAAATGTACGATAGAAACTGAGGATTAAATGATAATGATGGAAAAATATACTGTAGAAGCACATGACAAAACTATTAGAAACTGAGAGCAAAGAATGTACGGGAAGAAGATCCAACACGTTGTGTTTAGCAAGTCTCTGCATTTGTTCCAAAGGAAGATAATGCCATTTCAATTACAAGCATCTAAATAGTCACTAAAAATATTATCTGTTGGACGTTTGGGGTTCATAGAGTGGCAAAAGGACTGATGAGGACGGTCAGATTATTACACAACAGTTATATAACAACTATGTGTAGAGGACATATCTCATCCCAGGGTAGTAACAGTTTGTGTAATATGATGTACACCTGCAAGTGTCATTGCTTGTGTATTTAATTTAAGTCTGGCCATCTGTAATATTGTCGGTTTTGTGGTTATTTATTTCAGTTTAGTGGCAGAACAAAAACGACACGGGCCCCACTCCTCCGCTGGTTAATGCTACCGACACAGTAGGAATGTTCTCTCTGCATGTTAATTTATCTTGTTAAAACGTTCTCTATAAGGAAGTTACATTGATGACAGATTGTCTTACGTAAAAACTTCAAACATGTGAGGTATAGAGAGAAGTACGGACAATTAGATCTACCGAGTGTGTGTCATTAGTCCTCAGTGTGTTGTATCAGTGTTCTCTATATTCCTTTGTAATGTACTACAGAATCTTCAGTTATCATATACTACCAAATACTCACTTGCTATGATATAATATTATTTTTTAACCAGCCGTGTTTTTAGGTAATAATTTATTGTGGAAGGTAGCTTTAAACATTCCATCTATTTTATCAACATTCTTTATGTTTATTGCTACGGAATAGTTCTGTCTCGCTGTAAATGTTTGTCAAGATGAATTGACATATAATGGATGAAAATCGTGCCATAGTGTTAAAACACAACATTTAAAACAGCATCCAAGTCCGATTTGAAAAGATTATAGCAGAAACCGACAATCATTATAACAGGATTACAATCAACTCGACTCATCCGTACCGGATTCCCAACCTGATCAATATTAATATGTCAGTCTCCAGAAAGGACCAATATTTTAATCATAATAGACATTAGAATTCATTAGTTGCATCTCAAGTCATTATGACTGTTGTAAACCTTCCTACCGTACGTTATTTATCTACTGGAGACATCCTTGAAAGTATTTAAAACTTTGCTTAGAGTTGTGAATTATTTGTGACATCTGATCTTTATTGAAGTTGGTATGTGAATACTGAGTAAAAGTAGCATAAGATCGTGAAGCATAAGATCGTGAAAATAACGTCTAACTTCAATTATAGCATATTTCCTCATTGATATCTCATCCATAACAGTTATAATGTAATGAAGTGTGGCAGGAGTCATTTCGCGATTGTTTAAATATTTTCTTGTTCAGCTTGTCAGGTTCTCAGCAGTCGTCAGAAGGTAAACATGTTGGAAAACAATCGGCACCTTAAGGATGCATCCAACTTACACTTAAAGCTAGGTAAACAAAATAGCACATACTGATTGTGTCTTACATAATATCATTGTAGAATATACAGAATAGGTGTGTCGTCAACAAGGCGTGTAGAAGAGAAAAAGGCTTGAAGTATATTTTTTCAATTATTTGCTCTCGCATTTTTATCAGAAAGTTAATGATTTCCGCTGCGTTCAAACAGCGCTTTGAATAACTCGTCGGCTGGAATCACAGCGCTGTTGCTGCGGGCCTCCATACAGGCGACAGACCAATCGTGTAATATCACAAGGCATTCACCGCAGTTAACTCAACATTGATGTATTGTGATCGACGGGAGTGCAAACTTCATATCCAGGCCGTGCTTGTGGTCACGGGATACCAGTGCGCATGACAACGCCTGCATCTCTAGCGACCAGGTATGTGTGGTGATAATCTAATGTTTTATTTCCTCATACAATTTGTATGGGAGCAATTAAAACGGTATGATAGTCTCGGATATAACAGTTGGAGAAAATTTAGCGAATTATTTTATACACCAGACCATAGATATAGGATTTTAAACATTCTTTTCGGCCTTTCGATGATTTCCATGAACCTACTCCAGTTAGGATAAACATAAATATTTTCAGAGTTCATAATTTAACCGAAGACTATCACTTAAAATCGCAGTGTTGTAGCAAGTCCATACGCATGTATACGCCGTTAAAGTAAATGGTTTTCATGCCAGTGTAGGTTATGTTCCAGGCAGATTCACCAATCCTTATTGATTGCGCTATAAGATATATAAGATATTATGCAATGTATCGATCATAGATCATAGAAATTCTCTCGATGTTTATGCATCTCAGTCCCATTTTTTCCAGAGAAATGAATCTGTTTCTGTAGTAATTGTGCATTCAAAGCATTGTTTGTCATGATATATTTCAATTAACCATTACCATGTTTTGTTTCTATCAATTATTTTCAAACTTACATATTTTATGGATTGATGTATTATGCTACAATGTGTTCCATCTTTCAATTGCATATGACCATGTCATTAATACGGTATCCATTAAAGGTGTGTATGCCTGTTTAATGCTCACTGTTGTTCATCGTGTAGAATATACTTATTCCGACAAACCGACATCATAAGAAGTACACTAACACACCGTTTCATTTTTCCTACTTTATTGTAGATGTTAGTTCACAGTGTGTAATGAGTTTGTGGTAATCTGATTGAATCACAGGATTACGTAGAGGCCGGTGTCGTGGACATTTGACTCTCAAACTGCAGGACAAACAGGAGGGTCAACGTCTACAATTAAAACAGGGATTCATTGATTTATTGATCGGTTTAAGCCCTCCCAGCAGCTACGGTCGTCTGATGACGGTGAATACAAGGACAGTAATCGAAGGCAGGAACAACCAATAAATATTAGGTTCCACAACCTAACCCAATACATTCAAATATTATACGTTACGATATAAGCAGTAATTGTACATTAAAGTACTAGACATCATTTTTTTAACATGTGTTGTAATATAGCTGGTCGTAGAAGACAATGTCAACGTCCTGGTTTTACACCCAGTAGTATTATTTGCCACGAGAACTTTGTTAGAATGTCACAAAATATACATCGAGCGAATTAATTAATCTGTCAACAAATACTAAAATTAGTATGTACTATCAGATATTAGACAGTGTTTGCTTTATTTTCAGATATTTTGCTCAGGAAAGTTTGGAAAAGAAAATAATTGAATGCAAACATCATTTATCTCTTTAGATGTAACTGCTACAACCTAGATTATCGTTCCAGAACATGACTTACATCTTTGAAGTAGGATTCAAACTCAGCCTGGTCAACAGAACCGTCATCTGTCAATGAAATATTAATCCAAAGTATTAACAAAACCCCATACAATCCTCCAAATCTACTTTCATTATGATATATCCTTGATAACTATATAACTCGACCATTGACGATTGATGGTATCTGCTCTAGATCGTTTCCGTCATGCCGTCTTCTTTGACTATTTCGGGTACATATAACTGTATAAAGTCCAACACTCCCACATAGTATAACTACGTGAAAATATCCCTCAACTACACCCCAACACTCCCACATAGTATGACTACGTGAAAATATCCCTTAACTACACCCCAACACTCCCACATAGTATAACTACGTGAAAATATCCATTAACTACACCCCAACACTCCCACATAGTATAACTACGTCAACACTCCCACATAGTATAACTACGTGAAAATATTCCTTAACTACACCCCAACACTCCTACATAGTATGACTACGTGAAAATATTCCTTAGGTACACCCCAACACTCAAATATAGTATAACTACGTGAAAATATCCCTTAACTACACCCCAACACTCCCACATAGTATAACTACGTCAACACTCCCACATAGTATGACTACGTGAAAATATCCCTTAACTACATCCCATCACTCCCACATAGTATAACTACGTCAACACTCCCACATAGTATAACTACGTGAAAATATTCCTTAACTACACTCCAACACTCCCACATAGTATGACTACGTGAAAATATCCCTTAACTACACCCCAACACTCCCACATACTATAACTACGTGAAAATATCCCTTAACTACACCCCAACACTCCCACATAGTATAACTACGTGAAAATATCCCTTAACTACACCCCAACACTCCCACATAGTATGACTACGTGAAAATATCCCTTAACTACACCCCAACACTCCCACATAGTATGACTACGTGAAAATATCCCTTAACTACACCCCAACACTCCCACATAGTATGACTACGTGAAAATATCCCTTAACTACACCCCAACACTCCCACATAGTATGACTACGTGAAAATATCCCTTAACTACACCCCAACACTCCCACATAGTATGACTACGTGAAAATATCCCTTAACTACACCCCAACACTCCCACATAGTATGACTACGTGAAAATATCCCTTAACTACACCCCAACACTCCCACATAGTATGACTACGTGAAAATATCCCTTAACTACACCCCAACACTCCCACATAGTATGACTACGTGAAAATATCCCTTAACTACACCCCAACACTCCCACATAGTATGACTACGTGAAAATATCCCTTAACTACACCCCAACACTCCCACATAGTATGACTACGTGAAAATATCCCTTAACTACACCCCAACACTCCCACATAGTATGACTACGTGAAAATATCCCTTAACTACACCCCAACACTCCCACATAGTATGACTACGTGAAAATATCCCTTAACTACACCCCAACACTCCCACATAGTATGACTACGTGAAAATATCCCTTAACTACACCCCAACACTCCCACATAGTATGACTACGTGAAAATATCCCTTAACTACACCCCAACACTCCCACATAGTATGACTACGTGAAAATATCCCTTAACTACACCCCAACACTCCCACATAGTATGACTACGTGAAAATATCCCTTAACTACACCCCAACACTCCCACATAGTATGACTACGTGAAAATATCCCTTAACTACACCCCAACACTCCCACATAGTATAACTACGTGAAAATATCCCTTAACTACACCCCAACACTCCCACATAGTATAACTACGTGAAAATATCCCTTAACTACACCCCAACACTCCCACATAGTATAACTACGTGAAAATATCCCTTAACTACACCCCAACACTCCCACATAGTATAACTACGTGAAAATATCCCTTAACTACACCCCAACACTCCCACATAGTATAACTACGTGAAAATATCCCTTAACTACACCCCAACACTCCCACATAGTATAACTACGTGAAAATATCCCTTAACTACACCCCAACACTCCCACATAGTATAACTACGTGAAAATATCCCTTAACTACACCCCAACACTCCCACATAGTATAACTACGTGAAAATATCCCTTAACTACACCCCAACACTCCCACATAGTATAACTACGTGAAAATATCCCTTAACTACACCCCAACACTCCCACATAGTATAACTACGTGAAAATATCCCTTAACTACACCCCAACACTCCCACATAGTATAACTACGTGAAAATATCCCTTAACTACACCCCAACACTCCCACATAGTATAACTACGTGAAAATATCCCTTAACTACACCCCAACACTCCCACATAGTATAACTACGTGAAAATATCCCTTAACTACACCCCAACACTCCCACATAGTATAACTACGTGAAAATATCCCTTAACTACACCCCAACACTCCCACATAGTATAACTACGTGAAAATATCCCTTAACTACACCCCAACACTCCCACATAGTATGACTACGTGAAAATATCCCTTAACTACACCCCAACACTCCCACATAGTATAACTACGTGAAAATATCCCTTAACTACACCCCAACACTCCCACATAGTATAACTACGTGAAAATATCCCTTAACTACACCCCAACACTCCCACATAGTATAACTACGTGAAAATATCCCTTAACTACACCCCAACACTCCCACATAGTATAACTACGTGAAAATATCCCTTAACTACACCCCAACACTCCCACATAGTATAACTACGTGAAAATATCCCTTAACTACACCCCAACACTCCCACATAGTATAACTACGTGAAAATATCCCTTAACTACACCCCAACACTCCCACATAGTATAACTACGTGAAAATATCCCTTAACTACACCCCAACACTCCCACATAGTATAACTACGTGAAAATATCCCTTAACTACACCCCAACACTCCCACATAGTATAACTACGTGAAAATATCCCTTAACTACACCCCAACACTCCCACATAGTATAACTACGTGAAAATATCCCTTAACTACACCCCAACACTCCCACATAGTATAACTACGTGAAAATATCCCTTAACTACACCCCAACACTCCCACATAGTATAACTACGTGAAAATATCCCTTAACTACACCCCAACACTCCCACATAGTATAACTACGTGAAAATATCCCTTAACTACACCCCAACACTCCCACATAGTATAACTACGTGAAAATATCCCTTAACTACACCCCAACACTCCCACATAGTATAACTACGTGAAAATATCCCTTAACTACACTCCAACACTCCCACATAGTATAACTACGTGAAAATATTCCTTAACTACACCCCAACACTCCCACATAGTATAACTACGTCAACACTCCCACATAGTATAACTACGTGAAAATATCCCTTAACTACACTCCAACACTCCGATATAGTATAACTAAGTTAAAATATCCCTTAACTACACTCCAAAACTCCCACATAGTATAACTACGTGAAAATATTCCTTAACTACACCCCAACACTCTCACATAGTATAACTACGTGAAATATCCCTTAACTACACCCCAACACTCCCACATAGTATAACTACGTGAACTATCCCTTAACTACACCCCAACACTCCCACATAGTATAACTACGTGAACTATCCCTTAACTACACCCCAACACTCCCACATAGTATAACTACGTGAACTATCCCTTAACTACACCCCAACACTCCCACATAGTATAACTACGTGAACTATCCCTTAACTACACCCCAACACTCCCACATAGTATAACTACGTGAACTATCCCTTAACTACACCCCAACACTCCCACATAGTATAACTACGTGAACTATCCCTTAACTACACCCCAACACTCCCACATAGTATAACTACGTGAACTATCCCTTAACTACACCCCAACACTCCCACATAGTATAACTACGTGAACTATCCCTTAACTACACCCCAACACTCCAACATAGTATAACTACGTGAACTATCCCTTAACTACACCCAACACTCCCACATAGTATAACTACGTGAACTATCCCTTAACTACACTCCAACACTCCCATATAGTATAACTACATGAAAATATCCCCTAACTTCACTCCAACATTCCCACATAGTATGACTACGTGAAAATATTCCTAAACTAAACGCCGACACTCCAACATAGTATAACTACGTGAAAATATTCCTTAACTTCACTCCAACATTCCCACATAGTATGACTAGGTGAAAATATTCCTTAACTTCACTCCAACATTCCCACATAGTATGACTAGGTGAAAATATTCCTTAACTTCACTCCAACACTCCCACATAGTATAACTACGTGAAAATATCCCATCACTCCAACATAGTATGACAAGTTGTTCTAGTTGTACGTTTTGCATAGGCTGTTCCAGCTTTACTAGGTAATTATTCTAATGCTAATTATATTAATTACAGATAATTGTTGTTGTAATTGTACTAGTTGTTGTAATTGTACTAGTTGTTGTAATTGTACTAGTTGTTGTAATTGTACTTGTTGTTGTAATTGTACTCGTTGTTGTAATTTTACTAGTTGTTGTAATTGTACTCGTTGTTGTAATTGTACTAGTTGTTGTAATTGTTGTTGTAATTGTACTCGTTGTTGTAATTGTACTAGTTGCTGTAATTGTACTAGTTATTGTAATTGTACTAGTTGTTGTAATTGTACTAGTTGTTGTAATTGTACTAGTTGTTGTAATTGTACTAGTTGTTGTAATTGTACTAGTTGTTGTCATTGTCCTAGTGGTACTAGTTGTACAAGTTGTAGTAATTGTATTAGTTGTACAAGTTGTAGTAATTGTACTAGGTTTACTAGTTCTTGAAATTTTACTTATTATACTAATTGTTATTTTGCTAGTGTCATTAGTTGTTCTAGTTGTGTTAAAACACTACCGTCTGTTATAGGTGTACATGCTATACTTCTTGCATTTTGCGAAATTACGGTATGAAATGCTTTAAATGTAGGATTAACTTATTTCAGATAAACATTTCTGTTTCCTCTCAAAAAAACATGACATATGACATCGACAAGCGAAACAAGCCGAGGACTGCTAAGAAGCTGTTATTGAAATGACTGACCATTTTTGTCGATCTTTTCGTAATATCGCTGCATATCACTTTTGGTAATCTCATTGTCATTGTCCATGTCTAGTTCATAGAACAGTCCTTGCGCTATGACTACAAGGTTCTGTTGGTTGTGAGAGAAGTGGGCCAGGAACTCGCTCTGAGATATCTGTTGGTTTCCTAAAACGAGTTTCCACAGCAAATATTAAATCCATTTTAAAATCATCTGCTATCAGTGTTAGATTGTTCAAACAAATAATTTTAATCAAGAAATACAGCTTGAACCACTATAAAATGTCGTGGGATCAATGTAGTTTAATCGAACCATTTCATTTAAATGTCCCGTGATAATTTTCAGCTATGGACCTCTGTTGGGGTGAATATGTGGTTATATGAACCTGAAAAAGTGATTCTGACCGGGACGAAGTCGGGGTCAAAATCTCTTTTCCATGACCATAATAGCCGGATAACAGTTATATATATTATATTGTACTGCAACAGCACGATATGCATACTGAAAGGTCAAAACTGACTTAACGTTGTTGGGGTTTTTCGGTGATGCTTTCTTTTTACGTACCGTCATCATCATAACCCTTAAACAGAGCATCCAGGTCCCCCTGATCCAGGTTCCCATCAGTATCATGATGAACGCCATTCCAGAGTGCTGTCACCTCTGTGTTTACAAGAGCCTTAAATTTCTCCACAGCCGGACTCAAAGTTGTACCGGGGGGTGATGTCGTTGTGGCGGGCGCTCCATACCTACGGACGTGAGCAGTACTAGTGATCAACGAATATCGACATCGATATAGAAAAATGGAGATGTGTAGTACAAGAATATGCAGAGTAAAAAAAGTGGTGTGCAGATTGTCATGGATATTAATAAAACACCATTGCATGAAAGTATCTCTTTCATATATAAAACAAAAATAATTATAAATAGTAATTGAAAACTTGCTGTTTGGAGTGAAATATATCAATAGTAATGATTACCAATAGGGACCCAAAGTTGGAGTATTACGAACTCGCTTAGATTCCAATAGAAATTTAGTTTTTTCGGGGTTTTTTTTATGAAAGATTTAAAATAAAAACAAAATGAGTTTCAAGATAAAAACAAAGTTTCAGAGCTTTATATCAATGTTAAAACTATTTCTGTGAGAAATGACTAAGGAAGTCAAGAATGATTGCATTGAGCCGTTGATCGAGGTGTATGAGAGAGAAAGGAACGATATCGAACCGAAGCGTTGCTTCCAAACAAACCTCATTAAACACAAATGGTGTCACAAGTGAACAGTCTGGTGAAGAAACTAGAAAATAAATATCCATACCCTGCGATGCTTAGGATAACCAGCAGGATAAATAACATGATGACCGTCTGATTTTTCCTCGCCTGTAATACATATACAAACATGTACAGTTACAAGCTGCCTCTTTTCCCTTCAGACCTGTTCTACTACATCAAAGGAATCAACTTTAATTAGGCATATGTTTGAACGTTTTCCACTTATCTAATTGCGGCAAAAACATTCGTATGTATTCGTTCAAACAAAATAAAATCCAAAACCCCCTACGGTTTAGTCTGGGAGGTAAATAAATATTAGCGGGTTTATTCTAAAATGAAATTGTGTATGTCCCCGTATTTATTTTTCAACTCATCGTGCAAAAAACAAAACGATTGTAAGAATTTAGGGTAACGAAAAGCAAAGTAGAGATATGACATCTGAAGAAAAACTATTGTTTTGACATTTTCTTGCCATGTGACACACATTCGACTCATCGAAATTGCGTGTTTGTAGTAACTGTGTTTTTATTGTGCACACCCCTACAATTTCGGAGAAAACTGTTTATCCTGTTCTTTCCCACTACATCATTGTATGATTGTTTAAAATTTGGTGTTCATAAGATTACAGCTACGGACATGTAAGGATCCGATGCGGACTTTTGAATATTCCTCATTGAAATAGACGCCAAGAAACCCAGCAAAGTACACTACTCAGTCGTGCAATTAACGGGTAAACGAGTCATTGTGTTTCATCTAAATGCCTATGATATGTTACTATTTGGTATTTGTAATTTGGTATGTCCAGGCCAGGGGCCAAAACCCTTTGGCTTCTTCGAATGGGAGAACATTCTGCAATATAGCCAAATTTGAGGCTGTACCGAGGGTGACGTTTCTAAGTATTAAGATCAAGAATAGAAATACAAGTAGAGATAGTATAGATAAGGTGATATCCCGAGTGCCACAGTAGGGACGTGATTTGTACAATATTGTCACAAATGTGCCATCATACACGTGTCATGTGCTGCAATGGGACATAAAGAAATCAGGGGTATAATGAGGATAGAGAATTTGCTACTCGCAGAGTTGTTGAGGCTTTTACTTTTGTCGAAATACATAAAATTCTGCAAGGATTTCACAGCTTCTTAGATGTCACGTGATCATCTGATCGAAGCCGTATTGAGGAAACCGAGATGGGGACATGTTATATATAAAGTAGCAAGATAGTTGAATAAAGGAAATAAAATCAATCTACATTTTATAAAAGCATCAGAGGGTTTCATAGCTTCTGTAATTATAATTTCATCATTTTCGGTTTCATTTTCTTTCTACAACGTTAAAATGAATCATATGCATTTCACTTGTTTTTAAATATTATCAATGTCATTACTTCTTATCAAAATATTTCAAATTGGCAAATATTGTAGTTGATTTGTTTCTCGACAACTTACCTGTTTGAGTGAAGTCTTCAGAAAGGTGCGGACCAGAACATAGTTTTTACTTTTAACTGCAAAACTGACCTTGAGATACGGGACGGCTGTCGTTTTCCGACTGTTCACGTGTCAGACAGTTACCTCAACGTACCTAAAGGGCACTACGTAAAGAGGCCAACCTATAAATGACGTGGAAATACCTACAGTATCTGATAAAACAATGCATGCAAACTTATGACATGATTCATATGGAAGCAGCTATCTTTCCTCATGTTAGAACCTTAGTAAAGTGATAAAATATTGTGTAATTCAGGTAAGATGTGAGTTTGACCTTCGTTTTTATTTCGAAAGCTTCGAAAGACAGGCAGAACACTCGTGTAAAATCTAGGAATGGAAACGGCATTAGCTTTATCTTGTTCCTGGTCCTAGTATCACTTCCACGAACAAGCAACAGTTAAAAATGCTGTTTAACTGGCAGATTGTGTAGCCAATAAAATGTGTAACTGGTTTAGTGTTAATAGTTAACAGTTGTAATATTTAATTGGTAGAATGTTAAACTGTTGTCATATTTAATTGGTAGAATATTTAACAGTTGTAATATTTAATTGTAATATTTAATTGGTAGAATGTTAAACTGTTGTCATATTTAATTGGTAGAATGTTTAACAGTTGTAATATTTAATTGTAATATTTAATTGGTAGAATGTTTAACAGTTGTAATATTTAATTGGTAGAATGTTTAACAGTAGTAATATTTAATTGGTAGAATATTTCACCTTGTAGCATTTTACTTTAGAATATCATCTAATTAGTATTTAATTGGTGGAATGTTCTATCTGTAAGAATATTTCCGGGGCAAAGTGTCTTATTCTTGCAAAGTCTAAATATTCATCAAACTTTCTTTATTACAAACATATATTTGAGTTGATATATGTATGATAAAACGTGTATGATTTGATATTTGTTATTAATCTTTATCATAAATATGTATGCCATAGCTTGACAAAGGGGCCAGTCGGTCTTGAAACGTTGCGACAGGTTTATACGTACATTGTGTAGAAAGTAAAACTTTGATATCAATATATATCTTGATGGTACTATTAAAATATTGCGCTGCATTAGTCTTCATTATTAAACACGTGTATGAAATTTGACTAAGTGAAATAAAGTGGACAAGGCCTATTTCCATTTCTCTGTAATATACCAAGCATGCACAACTCGACAGTGACCGCCAGTGTTCATGGGAACCAACACGTGCTAATCAATATCGATCATATCCCACTCAGGAACACATCAGATGTCTATACATGCTCACGATCTACATGTACATGTGGACTCCGTGGCGCAACGGTAGCGCGTCTGACTCCAGATCAGAAGGTTGCGTGTTCAAATCACGTCGGGGTCAATCTCATTGTTTGTTGGTGTTTTTTTGGCCTTTTCATATTTATATATTAGCGATATACCATATTGGTTGATTTTGATATTACTTTTTATAATCATATTATCATTGTCATTATTATGTTAATAGTTACTCTTAAAACCACATCATAACTGCAATAATTTCGAGAAACGATATTGTAAATGGGATTTAGAAAATGTTATTCGCGTATGACAGCACTCCCTTTATATACACCAAACACCACGAGCGCAAAATGCGGAAATCTACATCGACACGGAAATACAGGAGTAGGCTTATTGACCAGCCGTCTCGAAACAGCTACTTTAGTTCAATCCCACAAGAATTTCTTGAGTGGTACTAAATATAGAAACGAATGTCAACACATACTTGTTTATGATAAATAATCAGACTCACCAAATAAACACGAGAAGACCATCGTTGCCATTTGCAATTGTGCGTTTTGAGGCTTTTGGACAAGCTTTGGTCACATTAGTCTGAAATAACTTGACTGATCGGAGATATCTGCCCCATCATAGCTGGCTATTGCGAACTAGGGTCACATGCGCCATTACATTCAATTATTTATAAGGAAAGATGATCATGTTTGAATATAATGTGAAATGAGTAACATCAATATTCTAAGAGCTGGTTGTAACTTAAGTATATGCCTGATGTGACATGTGCCTGACTTTGCCTAGACAGTTGTACACCATTATGTTATATGGATGTTTGATAAAAAATATAACATTTGTTCAAATTTAACACATACGTGTTTAAAAAACATTACTACGCTGGTAATGAAGATCAATACGACTTTGTGTTGATGATTATTAAAGCTTTGTAAGATTTAAACATGTCAGCAGCTAATACAAGCTGCCAGTAAACAATCCTACATAACATTCGACCAGCTTATACAATAACAGTTAAAGCATTCTACAAATGATATAAACACTACAAAACAATATATTACATCTCTTGAATGCTACAAAAATGTACTAGGTATAAGAAAATCACAGTATTATACCAGTTAGATACAACAGTAAATACTACTAGGTGAAAAATGTTCCAGTTAAATACCCTGACATTTTAATACTACAAATAAATGCATATCCAGTTAAAAACTATAATATTTATATACTTAATATACTATAAGTAAAAAGTAAAACGAAGCACTGTATGACAAAGGTATATGAATAAAATTTGGTCAGGGTGTTATTTGGTAGCAGCATCAGTTGTGTTAACTGAATAAAATATTCTTATGAAAGACAGCATATCTTCTGACCTAGCTGAAATTCTTTGTCATTTTAATTGCAAAATTTGAAACTTATTGTATCCAATAGGATGTTTTTATATTTGGTCTTTAAATATGACTTGTCATAGCGTTAAAATGTAGAGTGACAATACCATCTTGCAGGAAGTTGGTTGAATCTTAATTGGATTTCCATAACAAATAAGACAGTGTTTGTATATTGCACAAAAGCATTTTTGCCTATTGCTTAATAAATATATATATATCAAAGACATATCACGTTTCAACGCATATTGTCACAAATACCAGACACGTCATGTAGCCATGCTTTAGATTTCTTGCATTCCTAACATTTCATAGTGTAAGGTAGACAACTCGTAAAATAATATTCAGAAAATGTTTGAGCCCATAATACTTTAACTTATCAGTTTTGTATTTGATTTTGATCGAAACGGTTTAATTAATTTTTCTTCTGGAAAACTTGTTAGTCATCTGTAAACTGTATTTATTCGCCGAACACTTTCTTGTCCACGTTGTTTTGCGTTTTGCGTAATCTGAAAACGTTACGACATGTATTTTTGTAGCCATTACATAATTGATGATTAAGAAATGACCAGTTTTAGAAGTCTTCATATTCCCCATGTACAATTATGATATAATAGATCGCTACATGGAAATACAAATATGATTTTAAAACATTTCATTGATTAACATCTCGTCCTCTTAATTGATTGTTTTTTACTAATATTACTCTCAAACTAATTATCGAAACAGTTTTTATCTGATCAGTGCTTAACACACTGAAGCTACTCAAGGTGAGGTCCTTTCTACATCACTTTTCTTGATTTTTTGTTTTTTTCTATTCTCCAGTGTCTGAAAGCTTCTATGTAGGCTCCTGATAAGTAATCAAGTTGAGTTCAATGGTTTTGTGTTCAATTATTCACAATCCTTGTGGCGGCTGTTAAACACATTACAGTCGAACCTCGTTATCTCGAACTCTTTTAACTCGAAGACCCCGTTTATCTCGAAGTATTTCTCCGGTCCCGGCCAAATCTGTTCTTTATCTTAGTAAATAAAACTCTGATAATTCGAACCC